GGCGGCCCAGACATAACCATGGCCACAGATGCTTCAAGATGTACCTGCTCTGTTGTGGGCTTATCCACGGCCACAAACACTTCGGAGTGTCCTGCTCCCACGTGGATACATCCACAGGTCACAGTCCCTTTGTCTCGAGTTCACACTGGAGTTCCAGCCTGTCCAGTACAGCAGCACAGAAACAGCAGCAATGCCCTGGCCATCTGCCAGCCCAGGCGCATCCCCATTGCTGTTATCAAAATGTTCCCAAGCACTGCAGAATAAGATGTTCAGCAGTACAGCAGGACAGCAAGCAGCAAAAGCAAAAAGCAGCCGCTAACGAGAACTAGACTATAATACACAGTGAGACAAGCAAGCCCCATGGCAAGCACAGGAGCCTGCCCATTAATACCTAAATAGCAATAACAGCTATAAATGCGATGTAGCACATTCCAATCAAACCTGTCGTTATCTCGAACCCTTAGAGCCCCACATTAGGCGCCAAAAAGGACTGTCGTGGTTTAACCTCAGCCGGCCACTGAGCACCACACAGCCACTCGCTCACTCCCCCCTGGTGGGATGGGGGAGAGAATCGGAAGGGTAAAAGTGAGAAAATTCATGGGTTGAGATAAAGACAGTTTAACGGGTAAAGCAAAAGCCGCGTGTGCAAGCAGAGCCAAACAAGGAATTCATTCACTACTTCCCATCGGCAGGCAGGGGTTCAGCCATCTCCAGGGAAGCAGGGCTCCATCATGCGTAACGGTGACTTGGGAAGACAAAGCACCATCACTCCGAACGTCCCCCCTTCCTTCTTGGCATGGAATAGCTCATTGGCCAGCTGGGCCAGCCGTCCTGGCCACGCTCCCTCCCAGCCCCCTGCGCACCTGGCAGGGCACGGGAAAATGAAAAGTCCTCGACTACCGTAAACATTACTTAGGAACAACTAAAACATCAGTGTGTTATCAACATTATTCTCATACTACATCCAAAACACAGCACTATACCAGTTAATAGGAAGAAAATCAACTCCATCCCAGCCGCAACCAGGACATATATCAACAGCACTCTATTGCATATATAAATACATACACATCAATTTCAGGTAATTTGTATAATATATGGGGGTTCAGGCACTTAGAAATATCAGCAATGTTAGACTTTGTAGTGGATTTACACTGAGTAGGATTTCTCAGATTATAGAGAAATAACTATTAAAGTTAACAGAAAACTCTGGCCTCCATTTTTCTATTCTTGACAACTGATAAGATTTCCTTTTAGATTTCCTGCGTGCATTTTCTGAACTCAGCATATCTAAGGAGAGAGGAGAAAGTGAGCAGGATTTTCAAATTGAGTTCCTCTGGGATATTGGATATGTTCATAATAGCAATCTAACTTCATTGGCTCTCAAGTTTGTTAATGCACCTTCCTGGGGAAAATGAGAAGCCATCAGCCAGCTGATTCAGAGCTCTCATGGAAGAAAATGAGGGATTCCAGAAGATACAGGTAGGGATGGTAAACAAAACTGGTTGATAACTATGTTTCGTTTGGAACTGTTTCTAACATTTACTTGAAATGGAGGGCAGTTGTTCCGTTCTCCAGTTTTGGCAATGTGTAATTAATCTCTAAGTTTTATATATCTTGTTTCGTTTCTGTTTTAACTGAGTATGTGCTAAAGTCCACATACCAATGTATACTTAGGAGGCTTTCACTTTGTCCCTCTTATCTTTTGAAAACAGAGATGGAACTCCTTATAATTCTTTTATACCTTTGCTCTTTGCTTTATTTTGACAGGTTACTAGAATAATAGTAATTAAGCCTGACTGTGCTTGAATACAATGCAATCATTATGTATACATCTTGCCTGCTACCATGCCAAATTATCTGCACCAGACTGCATTTATGTAGTTGGCATCTTAAAATAGATAAAATCCATTTTAGACTTTTGCAAGTATATTGAATATTGAAAAAATTCTGGTCATAGCAGGTAACTCCTAAGCACTTGCCAATTCAAGGCCTTTAGGTCTCATTAAAAGCAAAAGCAATATAATATGCCCTCTTGTGTCCATGGCAAAACATTTTTCATTCCTTTCACTTTGTGATAGCTTTATAAAGTAAATGCAGTGTAATAAAATACACATACATATTTTTAAGAGTCAACATTTAACTTCAATGCTTTAATTATAAGGCATTAATTTTATAAAAATTATGAAGGCCCTTCCTCAGGACATCAGAATAAGAAATAATTGTATTTGTGAAAATCCACAGTAGTGGTGGGTATATGTGAAGTTTCTACTGGCAGCTACAGTACTACATCTAGAATTTCACAAGAAATTGAAACACTGAAACCACAAAAATATTACAGGATTTTTAACACATGCAGCTCATAACTGTATCTGTTTTACGAGTATTTTAAAGGAGATTTAGAGGAGATGGGCCACTTTTTAATCATAGGCATTTGACACTTTTTTCTGTGATGAGATCAAAGCAATTTTAAATTATTCTTTGTGTATAAATTTAGGACACTGTACAATCCTCTTTTTTACAGAGGAACTGGCTGAGCGTAGCCAAAGATAAATGCAAAAAAATATAGGTTAGAATATAAAATATGCGTCTATTTTGGAGTTCTCCATCCAATACCTGGTCTAATCTATCAGTACGTAGCATGACATTTGTTGGGATAATATCCCAATGCAGACTGCATGTAAAATAAGACAAAATTTTTTATATCAGCCTAATAAGGTTTATCATAGTAAGAAGTTTTACAGATGTATGAACATAAATGAAGTAAATGGCTAAACCTACTAAATATAGAATACTATAGTTATTATACCTGTCAGCAATTACTCTGGTACATTCATGTTTAAAAAGTGTTAGAAGGACAGTGCTGCTGTTGCATTCTTCTGCCTTTATAGTTAACATTCCTTGCCAAATTCTAGAAAGGTCTCGAAGGTTGAAGATATAGTGGAATTTAGATGGTGTAGGCAGCATCTTTGTCTAAAGAAAAATATTGTTAATATTAAAAATCAGTAACAGAAGGAATCAAGAATAATATAAATTATAA